GAATTGAGTAAGGGATATGCTACATAGGTATTACAATGCTGTACGAATACTTTTTTCGACTCCAATTTTTTTAATATAATTTTATTTATATAAAAAAATTTCTGATTTTTTTTTACATATAGCAACATTATGCCATGGTACACAAATATTGTACGGATGATAAAATAATAAATTTATAAAATCTATGTTAAATAAAAACATTCATGGCGAATGAATATTTATTTCACCCACTATATATATATATATATATATATATATATATATATATTATTTTCATCAGAAATTTAGGGAATGTGGCATTTTATAGTATATACTGAATTATATGTTGGTTGTTTTCAATGTTTGTGCATAATGGCGTGTGTGGTTTCTGTGTGTATATATATCTAATGAGATAATGAAGAGATAAACACAAACCGCTCATTCGTGTTAACATATACTCATACCAAAACAACGAAAAATGAACATATGACTAATAACAGACCAATGAAAACAAACAACGTAGAATACAAAATGTCGAAACGTCTATGCGATGTCACATTCTTAAAACTTCTGATGAAACTAAAATCAATAGCGGAGTGTGTCAGATCTATAAAGTGTCCTTTTCTAATTGTTTCTTATTACATCAGTTTATCTGTTTTAATGCATATATATATATATATATATATATATGTGTGTGTGTGTGTGTGTGTGTGTGTGTGTGTGTGACGTCGTCCCCTGGTCGCAGCGCCAACTGTGACGTCCTATCCTGGTCTACCACGGCACCAATTGTGACGTCCTCGCCGCGGCGCCAGCTGTTCGCTCCTCGCTGCTCCGTTCGGGTGTCGCCGCTCCAAACGTGACGTCCGCCTGTCGCGTCAGTCGTGTTGTCTCGTCATGTGACGACCAACTGGCTTGGTATCGGTCGCGGCACCCAAATGTGACGTTCTACCCTTTTGGTGATTCGAGTGGGAATCTGGTTAGATTTGATATCAGCCTCGTCGTTCCCAACTCGCTTCCAACGCCTGGTTACCAAAGTAACTGCATTGATCTCCAGTCTGCCTACCCACGTTGTGAATTGATCTTAGGCAGACGAGATCAATCAGTAATTGAAACCGTAATGCAAATCGGGTTCAACGGGGGTGACACCACACAAATATGCATAAAAGAAAATAAAATGAAAACTCAAAAGTTCAAGGTATCAAAGAAAAAGCTAACAAACTTTATGTCTAGTTGTTCGATACATAGGACTGCGTCTATCTCCCGACCCGTTCTATGGATTGTGACACGTTGTTTTCCGTTAGGCGAGTTTTAACGCTTCAAGTTGTTTGCTCTTTGAGAAATTGGTTTTTCGGTGTGTCTTCGGACGAAAGTCGAAAAAAAACTTATTTTGGTGGTCTGGATCTAAGTCGCTCTTCAAAATAATTGTTCTTGGATTGAAGAGGAGTCCGGAATGTGCTTGAATCTTTCAAGTCAGCTATCTGCGAGGCGGAACCAACTTCCACTGCGAGCTTCGAACTCTCTGCTGCAACTCCACTCTGCTGAACTGAACTCAACTGATTTCTGCTTGCTGCGGCTTCGCTTATATGGACGCCGACCAAAACCGAGGTGGGTTTGTCGGCGTCGGGGGTTCCTCGATAATTCTAAATACATATCCACCTCTTTTATTTCTGGTTAGGAATTTTCCACTCTTTTCCATTTTTGGCAGCCTTTTCTTACTCCCACCTTCTCACCATACTTCAGAGGGGCGTGAGCTGCCCTCCCCACTTCTTCGTAGCAGCTTCTCATACCTATCCTCTGGATGGGCGGCGACAGCCTCCTTCGTGCGTCACGTGATCACCACTCGACCAATGGTGTCCTAGTCGGGCATGGACGAATCCGCGGCTTTGTTTCAGGAAAAAAAAATATCTTGCTTAACTAAAAAAAAAAATTATCTTTTCTTTTCCTTTTCTTCCTCTTAATCGCAGTTATCATTTTCTCTAGCCGCAAACGACGGTGGTCATAACTCTTGTTCTACACCTGGGCTTCGTCAGTCATCTTATCGCTAATTATCAGAATGGGTGGTCTTTCTAACACGACCAGACGTCGCCCCGAAAAGAACATTTCTAAGTTCCCATTCATTTCCTTTCGGTACATATTTCTGATAACATAATTTTATTATCGCAGGCTAAAGATGTTCCGTCGAAAGAAATCGGTCAGTGGACACATCGTGTGCGGCTTTTGACACAAATTTTTCATATCTATCCAAAGCCCTTTAGTCCACCTGTTTTCCGTGATAGATAGATAGATATGAATATATTTAGATATATACTAGCAGTAGAGCCCGGCGTTGCCCGGAGATGTAACAGTAAGAGATAGATCAAGTATCGACCATCATAAAGACTGAAAAATAAAATTGACAAAGATTATTGTTTAAGGTTGACGGACACGCATGTCTTAATAATTTTTTTTTGTTTTGTGTTTTTTTTGTTTTTTTTTTACGAATTGGTCAAACCCAAACTCAAACAAAAACATTGTTTTTAATACGTATGAGTCTACCGATTGAATAGAATTTTATTATAAACAATTGTCTTGTAAATGGAATTTTTAAAGCATTCTGAATGTAAAAATAAAGAAAATAGTGGGGAAGACAATAAGAAACACTACCTGCCAAAAACAAGTGAAGTTTTGTTGAAATCGGTTGAAAAATGTAGGAAATCCGATCCCATATATAAACGAACACACACACACACACACACACACACGCACACACACACAAAAATAAACAATTTGGGTTTTATAATAAGTATAAATCGATATGAGTTGTCCCCCTTTCATTCTCGCGACAGCGATGCCTCTTAATAGTGTTTTCAAATTGATTCCGTGCAAAAACAATTGTGTTTTTCCAATTTTTGGCGCTGTCAGAACCACCGCAAGTTAATTTATGTAGTCCTGTGAAGTTTTGTTGAAATCGGTTGAAAAATGTCAGAAATCCGATCCAATATATAAACGAACAGACACACACATACAACCTTGGTTTTATAATAAGTATGATTAACAGACTGAGATAGATAGATAGATAGATAGATAGATAGATAGATAGATATGAATATATCAAGATATTTGTGAACAGAGCAAGATAGATAGATAGATAGATAGATAGGTAGATAGATAGATAGATAGATAGATAGATAGATAGAAAGAAATAGTGTGTGTAGGACGTAGAAATCAGTAATTTATGGTTATTCCCAGTTTTACGCTTTAGGCGATCACCAGACACATTGAAATGATATAGTATTATAATCGCTTTAAGCGTGAAAGTTGCAGTTACCATGCGGCGCTGAGTTCTCTGTCCACACTGTCTATATCCGCAAGCGCTAAATCTTCAATATCATTAGTCCTTTGACTGCTTCAGTAGTCTGGGGTGGGCCTAAAGACAGAAGTAAATGACAACCTTCTTCAGGATGATCTGTTGGTGGGTGGCTCTCAGCAATTCCAGCATAGTCATGTCCGTCCTCTCTTTGATGTTGTCTGACTGGCTTTTGTGTTTGCTGTTCCCGATTGTCTCTGTCTTCAACAGTGCATAAATGATGGTCTTGCATATGTAACAATGCTGTGTGACGTGGCCAAACCATGACATCGTCCGACGCTTATAAGTAGCGAGAAGAGATTTCTTTTGAAACTACATCAAATCTTAACCCAAGCTTTGTTTTTCGTCTAAATTAATGGTTTAAAATTTGGAAAAATTATTCAAAGCAAATTCAAATTATTTCGGTTTACCTGATTTGCATCACTTCAGACGGACTTTATAATTATTATGATCGTTAGTTTTACTAGATACCTGTGTTTGAAATAGACGGAATTTTTTGAAAAATTTTAACAGTGTATTTTATGACCTTGATATGCCAATAGGAAGTAAAATACAGTTTCTTTCCTTTCTGTATTTTTGAAAGATATCACAGAATTGGACATATTTTACTGACGACATATTTATTTTGTTTTCGAGGTTAAGGTCAAAGGTTAAAATGTCAAGAATATTTTCAGGGAGAGGGAAATAACATTTAAACCCGACAAAAAATGGTGTGTTAATAAATCCTTAAACCTATCAGTAAAGTACTCGTATTAACTGCATGTATAAAGAATATCTTGAAATAAATCATACGTACACTTAAAAAGCAACTACACACGCACACACACATTTTACGTCCATGAACTTGTTTGATATTTTGCCAAATTGATGAATATTAATGAGCACCTCTATACTAATTTTTTTTAAAGAAAAACTAATAATATTTTTGCTCTTGTATATAAATACTTGCCACAAAATAAAATTCTTACATTTCCCTTAATAAAGTCTCTCAGAGGACGAAACGCGTCAGCTAAGATAAGTTTTCCTTTTGTCTTTTTCATAAATATACATATATATAAATATATTTATCATATATATGTGTGTGTGTGTGCGTGAATGAGTTTATTCTAGAAGCCATTGTTATACAAAAATAAACCTCGTTAAATAGAACTTTCACTATTTTACAATATGCATAAAATATTTAGTATGCTTATGGAATAGTAATAATAATAATAATAATAATAATAATAATAATAATAAATGGAAATAATCCAAACTGCAAGAATTGCGGAAAATATGATGAATCTGTCGACTATATGATCTCAGGATGTCGTGATCTAGCAAAAAATGAATACACCCACAATAATAACAAGGTAGCATCATATGTGCACTGGAAGATATTTAAGAAGCACAAAATCGAAACCACTGAGAGATTGTATGAGCACGAGCTAGATACAGTTACTCATAATAACGATGTAACTATCCTCTGGGACATGCCAATTCAAACTGACAGGGAAATAAAAACAAACAGATCTGATATTATCATAAAAGACAAGAAATTCAGGAAGTGTATGCTTATTGACATAGCAGTACCATTCACAAGATATGGGGAATGAAAACTGACAGTCCCTCGGAGGTATGGGCCTCGTGAGAAAAGGAATGAACAATTTTATTAACAGTGTCCCAGGTAACATCAACATACAAGTTGCCCAGAAGATCGGCCTACTAGGAACATCCCATATACTAAGAAAAGTGTTATCAATTAAATGATAATTCTCCTATAGTGCCTAAGGGCAATATTTTGGACCCGGCTCTACAGGATACAAAGCTAGTAAAACAATATACACAAATAATAATAATTCATATGTCGGGTCTCTTCAAGAGATGCATGGCTTCAATTATTATTATTATTATTATTATTATTATTATTACTTTAAATGAATTTGCAAGGAAAACGAAAAGGTTTCTTTGTTTAACAATTGCTCAAACCATTTCTAAGATCAAAGTAACAACTCCTCAATTTCCGAACATGATATCGTCTTCTTTTGTGCCGTGTCCATTGAGGACGTGTGCGACTACGGCACTCCATAACTTCCCGTCATTTCTGGCTCTGAGCGAGGCTTGTCTTTTTGCTATGTCTTCTAATGTAATTTTCTGACACCATTTACATATATGATTGAGATGTGTTATTCGCTGCTTTTCTCTGTCTCCCTCGCCTTCAGTATGTCCTGTGCGTGTCAAATTCCCCAAGCTCTCTTTCCTCATTACGTGTCCTAGATATCTTATCTGTCTCTTTCTGATAAGCTCTAACCGGGAAAAAATAATATTTTGACCCCCTCTCATCGATTTTTGTCATATTTTTCTGAGAAATTATTGATCATTTTTTTTCGTTTGATTTGTTTTTTATTAATTAATAAAATCTGTAATATTCATATTGATCAAATGACCATTACTTTTTGTCTTGTTTTTTTTTAATCTCTTTCTTTACCTTCTGGCTTGCATGCCTTCAATTATATATATAGACTTTCAATAGAATTTTTAGTGTTAGCACGTGCATGTATTGTGTTGTGTTGTGTTTTCGTTTTTATTGTTGTAGTAGGTTTTTATAGCTGCCATTGTTGTTCTTTCTGTTGAAAGCTTTTCGGCATTGAATGTCAGAATTCATTCTTTTACCGAAGACTCCAAGGATAAACGACCAGTTTTCCAGTAAGATGGATTCAGCGAAAACCGAATTCATTCTTAAAAAGATACGTTTGAAGCGAGTAATATATATTATGTAGAAAATGTAATAATATATGGATGTGCGTTGGATACGGGCACGGAACTTGAGAAATTGGAGAGCACAGTTCGAATTCCAATCGGGTTCATTACATTCACTTTCGCGAATATATGCTTGGAAATGATATAAATACATTTCTTCTCCTCCCAGCTATGGGTTAAACAGCAGAACAGACTGGATCTTATAGCCAAGTTTGACAATCAGTCTACCGCAGAAAGAAACGGCAGCCTACTGTGGAAATATCTTCTGTCTATTAAGTCCTTTAAAAAAATGCGTGTATCACGTATGGCACTGAATATTAGATGTTTCTTTATAAGGAATTATTCGGTATTCATTGACCGATCAGTCACTGCTACTCGAGTCACGTTTTTCTTCATTCTATGTGCATCGGGTTGGGGTCAATATGTAGTATCCGGTCTCCGAATCTGTAATGGTATACGTAATATTAGCAGTTTCCTTATAAAGAAATATTCAGCATCCACTGGCTGAAAGGCCAGCTATAATTTCAGTTGAAATTTGTAAAATATTTTTTTCAGAAAAATAAGTTTCTCAAATCCAGTAAATGTTATTGATCTTTCCAGTATTGATGAGGGGGACTTCTTTACTAACATTTTATTTGAAATAATGTGGCACGTCAACATCTTGATTATAGCATTATTTTTTCTATTCGAGATACACGTGACATTCATTGTAATCATCGTAAATAAAATGATTTTGTTATTTGATACAGTTCTTTGTATAAGATTCTATAACGCCAGTCCACGCGGTTCAAAGACGGATGTTACTCGCTAAGACCTACATGTTGCATTCTCCTCGAAGCCATTTTTAACAGGTTTGGCACCATGCATAACATCAATATGAAAGTGTCGATCGGATGAAGTTATTTAAGTACATGACTAGACTTTTCAGGTTAATGTTTTAACAGCCATATCATTACTCGAACAATTAAACTACTTATAATCCATATAAAATATTCACAAAGCCCCAGCAACTATCGTCCTGGGTATGACGATTAACTACACCCGGCATCAGAATTTGAAGAGCATCTCTTAATTGCTGTTGTTCCCAGGTCCACTCTCTCCTAGGGTGGTAGCACCTTTTAGGGACCCAGCTATGGGCAAATAGTGAATACTCGAACTGGGGCCAAAACATGAAGATATTAAAATACACTAGAAATAATTACCAGCAATAAATTTTCATAGTCATAAAAAATTATCAACAATGCACTTTTTATGGGGAAGAAAAAAAATTACCAAAGCTAACAATAAAATAAATTTTCGGTATTAGATATACTATTAAACAAGCCAATCAAATAACCTAGAAACAAAAATATATATATAAAAGTTATAAATAAATAAGAATAAAATGGAATAAAAAAGGAATATTTTAAAATTAAATGAATAAAAATTAACTGAAATTATAAATAATTTAAAAGTATTAGTTTAAAATAATAAAAAACTATCAGGTTATCTATAAGCCTACAGTACTCTATAGTATCTCCATACAAACCCTAAATGCTTTCTCAGTCACCAGGTCTCTCTAATGTAGCTCTGTATTAATCATTAACCTTTTCTTTAAAGAAATCAGTTTTCATAGACATTTTCACCCGTTCACAAGATTCTCTATTTAACGTTTCCTTAAGGTGGTACTTTACTTGCTTTTATATAAGCTAATTTTCTTATGATTCTACACACTTTCTCTCATTCGCAAAAAAAAAAACGGCCTCTTCAAAAATATTCTTGCTTGTCAAATCCCTTTTCGTGCTTATTAAACTTTTAATGTTTTAAAAATGTCTCTTTGTGGCATTCTGAAAACTATTTATCTTTCTACTTATCATCTCAATGTTAGCAAATTCCTTTTTAATCGTTCGCTGATCTCTGTTCAAATTGTTCGCTATTTCAAATGTTATTTTCCCTATCTATGAATTTTCAATATCTTGTTTCTCTTCTGAGTCTGTATGATTTGACCTTTGGCAATCTTTATCGATCAGAAATCAAAATGTAAATAACAATAATCATACTATCATATATATAAATATAAAAGCGGGCATTGACTTCAACACCAAGCGGCTGCAGACTGTTTCATGCTTAAACTCAGTCTTCAGGCCATCCTAAAAATTGCATTCATCCTG